AAAGTAAAGTCATATGAAAATTATCAGAGATTTATCTACACGGGGTGGGGGCTCTCTCCGTCCAGTGCTGCCTTGCAGGGGGGCAGTGGCTTCCGGGCCTTGGGTTGGAGGGAGGGGGAATTCCCATGCTCCATGAGGCCCTGGAGTCAGCAGAGGGTTATCTGCTGAGCCGGCGGCTCCCCGACACTAAGCAGGGCGGGGCGGGGTAAGTGTGGGGACAGGAGCCCTCGCAGGAAGGTGCTGTCTCCCTTCGGCAGTGTCCTGGTGTGAGCAGGCTGTTGGCTGACATTTAAAACCCGGGATTAACGTCCCCCACAGCCCCTTTCTGCAAAGAGCAGGGCTGTCCCCTGGCTGAGGCCCGCTCGGCTCTTCCGTTCCACGCCCCAGCGGTCTGGGTTGGATGCGGGGCTCTGTTTCGCTCGGGAGCAGCAGCGCTGTGACCCACCCAAGAGGTGGCTGCATCGCGTGCCGGGCAAGGCCTCTGCCCGGTACGGCTCTAGCCGTCAAACGAGCACGTTCCTCTGCTTTGCATCCGGCTGCTCCGGTGGCCGCTGAACGGGGAGCGCAGGTGTGCCAAGGTGCTGGGTTGCAAAGGGGCCCAGCCCTGGGCGAAGGGGGATTTTGGCGACGGGCGTTTCCTTGCTTCCACCCTTTTCAAAGCTCCCTCGATCTTGCCACTTCTGCTCCCTGACCCCTCACGCCAGGCTTCACTGCCTCGCCGCTGGCCTCCATCTGCCCAGGGCATCCCTGAGACTGAGCCATCCCTGACCAGGACCGGGGACAGGCCCCTCCCTGGGCTTCCAGCGTGAGCTGGCCCAGGAACTGGGGGGAGGGGCTTTGTGGTTCGTGCTGTGGGGGTTGCTAGCCGTGAGTTGGGACCAGCTAGGCTGGTGCAAACGGGTCTGAGGCCCAGGGCGGTCCCTGCAGCCCAGCCCAGGGGCGGCGCAAGCTGCTTAGGGCCCGGTCCTGCACGAGGGCTGAAGTTCTGCCAGGGATGTGGGCTCCTGTGGGGGCACGTGGCAGCTGGCAAGGGACCCGTGACGCCTTGCAAGAGGTACTTGGCACTCCTTCGCATCAGGAAGATTCCATTTGAAGTAACAGCCCGGCTCTGCCTGTCACGGGGCCAGCTTGCTGAAGCAAAGTTTAACTGGTGTTAAGCAAACATCCTGGGAGATGCTGGCTTGCAGATCTGGCTTGGGGCTCGGCTAATTGGACAGGTATGCGGTGTGCCCCTGGAGAATAAATACACCTAGCAGGGCTCCAGCGAGTCGCGGAGACTGGAGCGGCGCAGGGGGATTTGCCAGGTTGGCATCACCATAGCTACGGATGGGGGGAGGTGGCCCCTTTCCACTGCTCGGCAGGCCCCCAAAGTGCGGCTCTTTGACTGAAGCACCCAGCACCGTCTCTCCCGCGTTGAGATGCTGCTCTCTGCGGCTGGGTGACTCGGCCCGTCAGAGTTGGCACCCTCCGAGCTGGCACGCGTCGCTATCCCCGGTGAGGAATGTGGTTTATTACGGTGAGCGG